CGCCTCATTTTAAGCAGTCAGCTTTAACATTTATTTTTTCATAATCACATCTATCTTCTTCTAGACTTTAGAAGGATACGTTATTTACATTGAGGGATGCAAATGAAACTGAAACGAGCCCTCCTCCTTTCCCATTCAGGGATATGGGAGGTGAGACATTCTGCATCGTCAGTGACATGCGACATGGGTATCCTTCTCTAGATCGAAAAGATGGTTTGTTAGATTTTGGAGAAAGTAATTTTCCCTTCAGATTTAGTGGTATATCGGTTATTAAATTATTGTATTTGGTTTTGTCTGCCCTTCAGTCCCTTGGTTCTTACGTCACGGAGTACATTTACAGAGTATTACTATATATGTACTGCAATAATTTGAGTCAAAGATCACTCTCATCTATATTTACAGAGGGGAAGTGAGGCACAAACTTCCCAAGATCGGAACAAACAAGGATCTGAGTTCAGGTCTGAGCTCCCCCAGTAGCCTTTTAGCTGTTGGCCTAAATCATTCAGAGAACTGCAAAGAGGAGTCAGTGTGCGAATGTAGAGCTTGTCACCGCAGGAGGGTAAAGGCGTCAGCAGGGCAGAAGGCACCTGCAGAGACACGAAGAGGTGGAACAGCCCGAGAGCTGTATTTCCTGTTCTGGTGGTAGCCAGCATGAAGAGTTGTGTTATGGCCTGGGGCTGCGCGAGTGAACCGGCCCGTGCGAGCCTTTGTGTGCTGGAGCAGTCATAGCGAGAGAACCACCGCTGCCCGGCCTGCCAGGCTGGTGGGGCAATGCAGTTTCATCATGGAAACCTGACGCTGCATGATGCAGTTTAGTACCTGAATGAAACGACTTAAAATGTCTTTAATGTCTGCATGTGCTAGAGAAAACAAATAGATTTTCCCCAATTAGCTGTTTAAAGATTTGAGAGCAAAAAAGGGGCAGAATGAGGTAGAACAGCCCAAGCTGCCTATATGTGAAAAGTAAGTTTTTCGAGAAGAGCCATATACTCTTCTGTTACTTACCATGTAATTGTTTGTTCTTTTAAGATGCCTTTTGTGTGCGACACAGTGACTCTGTGTAACACCTTTCTCCTTTTCCCATCCCCACAGGCATTAGCAGTAGGTGGACTAGGTTCCATAGTAAGAGTTCTTACAGCAAGAAAGACTGTTTAAAAGACTATTAACTTGAACCAAGACGACGATGAGTGTTGGATGCCGAAGGAGGAATCAGCTGAAATGATACTGGTCCATCTTTATTAGAGATCGCAATCTACTGAAATACTATGGAAACCTCCTCTTGGAATGCTTTTAACCTTAAAGGTGGGGGAAGAGTAAAGGTATTCCTGTATATTCTGACTATCAAATACAGGAGCCAAGACATCCTCCTGATCCCTTCTTTAAAAGGCAGAGAGAAGGCACACTCCTGCCTCCTATTACTGTAAGTGAACAGGTATTTTCAGATGCTGCTTTATCGAAGTGTGGTGATAAAAGATCCTGTGTGTACTGCTTATTTAAGAGGTAGCTATGTCCTTGGCAGATGCAAGATCCTGACAGCTTATGGGTGGGAGAAGTGTTTATCAGAGCGATGGTTTTGTACGTATGGTCGAAGGACTAATTGGACTATGGGGTTGGTTTCATTGTAAAGTGCCTGCTGCATCAATAAAGTTCTTGGATCACATGAGTTAAGTAATTTATTTTTCGCTAAAATGTAATTCTGACTTATTTAAAAGCAGGCCAGCGATATACCAATTCTAAGCTAAGTGTCCACCTTTGCATGAATGCTCTTAACTGCACCTATTTACAGAATTTGTCCTCAAATCCAGCTATGCTGGCTGTCAGGACCAAGCTCAGCTGTTCCAATCGACGCTTCTAAGATGCAGTGAATATAATACATAATCACCCATGGTTTGATTTTTATATTCTTGTCCATCCTAGAAAGTCAAGAAAATACTTCAGAACTTACTAACTTATTTATGTATTAGTGTGTCCTCACCTTCTGCAGGACCTAAGTAGAGCAAAATGAGCTGCTTCCTTTGAGTCAGTATGCACGGATGTTTTATCCTTGATTTGTCCAGACAGAAGGACACAACTACTCAAACCATCGCTGTCTCCACCGTCAGTTACAGCACACTTGGCAAGAGCGTTGGGGTTGTACAGCGTCCCTCTGGGGCTCGGCTGGCGCTCTGCACTGTGAGTCTGGCAGGGTTCTCTGCCAGGAAGGAGCCTTCCTTTTGGCACAAACGAGCCTACTGCAAGTGAAGCAGCTGCTCAGGGAGGCCCTGCTCCCTTCAGTCTTTGTTTTTATCAGCTGCTAAAAGTGCAGCAGCAGCTGTCCCTGGTGAGAGATGATTTTAGGAGGCAGAAGCACTCTGCCTCATTCCTGGCTTAACTCCCTATGAGAAATAGGAGCCTTAATTACATGGCTGACACACCCATTCTTACCATGGGCAGAAGGTGGGGTTTGTTTCATGCTTTAAATTTTAAATAGCTATAGCATCCCAGTGGAGATAACCAGAACTATAAAGAGAAAGAAATCAAGATTAGGGTTTTGATCCAAAATGTATTGCACCACAAATTTCATAGCGTTTCATAATACAATCCATATTTACAGCATAGAAGGAAAGAAATCCAATGGCCATAGAAAGGATTATGTATACCACTGTTTTTATACAAGGGAAAGTGCATTAGCTTTTTAATGTATGTATACACATCATTCTTGCTCTGATACCTAAAGAAAATTCAACACTTATGAACTAGGTCTTATGGTAAGTTGATCCTGTGTGAGCTTTGGGATCTTAAAATTGAAACTGTGTTAGTGAATATATAATCTAAGATTTTATGCTGTCACTCTTTATTCTAGGCTGCCTGTACTGCTTTTCTTACTGTTCAGCAGTAACCTTTCAAGCCAGGATCAACATAAACCGATTAGTCATTCAGCAGGCATCAGCGTGAGTAGAGGGAATCCTGTCCCCTGTCTTGGGTCCCACAGAAATAGGTCAGGGCAAAGGGACATTCTAAAGAAAGAGACCTTAGAGAATAAAATCTTTCCAGAACCAACAGGGTTATCCTGCCCCCGCTTTGTTTCAGTACAGGAGCAATTGATATAAACCCACTTTTTGATTGTCTGTTTTCATATTAGAGCAGAGTTGTACTCTTCCCATAAACTTCCTTATGACATTGTTAAGTGCCGTGTATTGGGTTACTAAAGACTGTGTTTGGACAAGCTTTAGTGTACTAAAAAAATCCTGTTGGTTTTCTTAACTGTCAATAAATATAACCTAGTTCTAAACTGAGGAGTGTCACTTGTGCCAAGGTAATAGCTACTGCGAGTACCTGTGTCTGGGATATGGCTGATTAACAGAACTGGGGAGGTCAGCCAGGGTATAGATTTTCAGCACATTTACTGCTCTGGTAACTGACCTCACGTGGAAGGGTATTTTTATCTTTACCACAGCACGAGTGTGCATGGAAGCAGGGAGCAGCTCACGTGCTGTAACTCTAACATCTCAACTGCCACCACAAAGGTCATTCAGACCCCTGTTAGCAAAGCAAAGTTAAAAAACTGAACAGTGACTGTATCTCCACTAAAGGACAGGTTGAATTTTCTTGAATATATTTAATAAAAATATTGTTAGTAACACAAACCTCATCATAAGAGAATCACCAGAATTGCAGCCTGCTCATCGAATTCCATACATGTGTAATTTTTTGAAAGTATGTCCCATTTTTAAGAAGTCAGACTTAATGCTGCTTCCCATTTTCATCTAGATTTCGCAGTGGTGTTAATAACTATGGGCAAAATTGTGCTTCCTCTCTGTGAGGCAAGTGCCACCTTGGTCCCCTTTTCTTAAGGGGGAAGGAAAGCAAGCTGCTGGAACCAAGATTTATTCATTAAGAGTTGAATTTTGCCCTCAAAACCAAAAACCTCATGAGCAGCATTTCTTTTACCATGTAGTTAGGACACATTTAACAGCCCACTACATGTTCATAACAGTTTTTAAGCATCAGTATTTGAAGTACAGAAAACCACAACCAAAGAGGCGGATACTGGTTATGAAGATTTGTTGCTAGCAGACTTGGAAGAAAAAAAATAAAAATCAAAGCATTTAGTACCAATATTCTTCACCCTTTGTCACTAGATTTTTTTTTTTTTTTTTTTTTAAATAAAAGGTGTTTTCAGTGTGCATTTACAATACCTGGAATTCAGCTTTAAAAATTTAAAATGGTTTACTACCCCTTCTTCCCAACACTAACAACCTATGGTACAGGCTAATAGATTAGTTTTAAAGGCGACTGAGTATTAGGTACTATAATTAAGACCATTTTAAATATTATTTTTCTTTAAGAAAAGTAAAATCAGACAACTCTAAAGTTGTGCTCTCAAATTAAATAATCATCATCAACATGCAGCCTTCAGGACTGCAGGCCAGGATATATGCACCTTAAATTACACAGTGATACGAAAAAATGCAAACTATTAGTTATGTCAGTATAACAAGGCAAGGCAGATTTCTTTTTTGGTTAAAGCTCCTGCTCCTGTTCTTTGAAAGGCTTTTCAAACTGCCAAAAACTCAATACAGTACTGCCAACATTTTTTTTCATTGCTTGTGTTCCACAGCGAGACAAGGAAGCTTTACTGCACCTAGAGTTACTCAACTCTAGCCCTCCGTAACAGAAGCTGGAATCACCATAACAGATGCACGTGTTAGAAGCTTGAACTGCCAGCACCGGTATTAGTGAGGTTAACATTACCCTTTGGTGCCAAGAAAACAAGACCGATGAGCACAAGGAGCTGACTTCCATTAAGAGACCATGGTCCCCAAATCCAACCCAGAAGAGGTGTTTCAGTTTGTAGTGAAAATTTCTCCTTGCACAGTATTAGTTTTGTAAACAGTGTCAAAAGTTCTTGTACAAAATACTGCAATGACAGTGATTAAGACACACCTGAATTAGTGTGTTCAGCGTTCTTTTCACAGAAAAAAAGTGGCTAGATGCTGACTGCCCATTTTCAGGTTCCCTTAAGGCCACAATGTCCTTGGGCTTGAGATAGACGGCCGGATACTGCCTTTAGGAGATGGTTTTGACCCAAACCATGACATCTAGGACAGGAAAGCACAATACACATTATGCTATGTTCACACTTTTAAGAAGCTGAAGATTTGAAAAAGAAAGAATATGGTACATAGGCATCTCCCCATCATTTGATGGAAAGAATTATTTATAGAACAGAACGCTGTAGACTTCAGACTGAAGAAGTGAAGATAGTTTCACACAATCAAATCTGGAAGAAACAGCGTCCATTTTCCACAAGTGAAGATGACTGAAGATTACACTTACATATATTCCTTTAAAATAATTAAAATTACAGATCTACAGTCATTTAAACACAGTATCTTTAGTCAATCTAGTATTAAACTGTTCCCTGAACAAGATGGCAAGGAAATCTCCCTCGGTTGCAGTCATATGTAGACTGAACACGTCCATCTTACCGAGTGGGTAGAGATGAATGAAGGACATGGAAGGAACTGAGGCAGCACTCATTTATGAACATTCACCAGTAACCACATAGCCAGGGACATGCAGGACATCTCATTTTATGCAATGGAAAGAAGAAGCAGATCTAGGTGTCTAAGCCCAATGTCAAAATGACAAACCAAGAATTCAGCTTCCTGCTTTTAAACATTTGACTGTACACCAGCAAGGAGTTTCTAGCTTCCCTCCACGGACTCAGTCCGCAGGGCAAAATCGTGCTGTTGCTCCTTCTCTGAAGCACTGGAAAGTATTTCCCTCACTGAAATGGACAATTTCCAACATGTATGTATGTGATTAGCTAACATTTTAATAATAAATTACATTTATTATTGTAGCTCAATTTTGGAAAAGATACTTTTCATGATCTCTCAGCATCTAAGAATTTTCATTCCATCTGCTGGGAGTCCCGTTAGAGACTACAAGTGGAACAGAACTCTTACCTTGTACTCCAAAGTTTCTTTAAGCATGTTTTCTTCCTCTTGTGAAAAATTCAGTAACACAGATACAGCTTTAATTAGATGGAATGCCTGAAAGAAACCACAGTATTTTGTTGCTTATGATGCTCTCGGGCTCTACATTCTGGACTATGATGCAGCACAGTTATTCTGTAGGTTTGGTCACAGACTTTCTAGGCACAACTGCGAAGAGCAGACCAGCAGCCTTCCGTTAATCCCCAGTTCCAATAGACTAGGATGGCCTGCATCTTATTTCTTCTGTTTGTGTTTCCTGGCTTTCTGTTCTTTAACATTGGTTTGTATATTTTGGGGAAAGAAGACAAATGAGGAGCCTAGTTAGTTAGAACAGAGATGTCCTGTGACATCCTTTTTTTTTTAAGCTGTGAAAAGTTGATCAAACCAGCATGTAGGCAGGAAAGAATCATGCCATTTTAAATATACACTTAAGTATATTAACTGTAGTACTAATACTCTACATGGGACACACAATGCAGAGTTAGTAAGAGTCAAGCACTCAGGGTACCTCGGAGTCGCACAATCATTTCTTGATCTTACCCACTGACTTGCAATTAAGCAAAGTATATTGTTGGCATGACTTTTTCACCTTTAACTTTTTTGACACCGTGTGGAGAATGTGAAGGAGCTCCAAATGCACAAACAATTACCTCTTACAGATCAACAGCAAGTGGTTTATGTCTTTTTCTTGGTTTGTTTTTTTTTTTTTGCCATCTTTCTTAAATGCACAACCACTCTAATTACATACTCCATATGCTTTTTAGAGTGGTGCAGAGGGTATGTCTTGTAACTTCAGATCTTCAACTTCCAGACATAACTGCCTCTTAAAAATTCACATTTCCCGTAGTTCAGAATAATCTGTACTTCCAAACATATCACTGTTAGCTATTTTGCTGAATCAGTCAACAACTTTTTAAGTGTAGAAGTATGGAACTGGCATAGAAGTGTCCTTAGCAGGTAACAGGTGGCAGTTTCTAGGAAAGACAGACTTAGAAAGAGAAGCTAAGTGTACATCTTTACCTCAGATTCCCGGCAGGACATGAATTTTAGTACAACATGTTTAAGGTACTCAAAGTTTATCTCCCTTGAGTCATTTAAATCAGAGTTGTTTGTGACAGTCACAGAAGCATTAGGCACTTCAGAATTTGCTTTTTCACGTACTTCAGGTACCTCACTGTCAGGCCTTATTTTCTAAAAAAAGAAAAATAGAAATACATTGTAGACTCTGTTAGCTTGACACTGGGAGAGGGTCTGGGTCCAAGATATCTAACACAGAGGGCTTGCATCCACAAGGTGGGTACAACCTGGGCATCAATAGGACAAGCTTCTCATCCTTCAGGGGATCACAGCGGAGAAGTGTCTTCACCTCTCCCTAGACTCTAGGACATAAGCTAGTTGCTGTTAGCATTATGTGTACATTACCCAAACCAGCATGGAACTGGCTCCATGGTAGAAACTATCAGCTGATAATTTTCTTTTATCACTAACCTGCTCTGTGCCTTTCAAACGTGGGCTTTCAGAACAAAAATAACAACATCAGAATATTTTAAAACCTCTGTTAATTTTTTTTAAAATAGAAGAATTTTTTCTTGGAGAGAAAAACTATCATAAGAGGGATTAAAGGGGAGCTTACCCTGGGGCAGATATCACTCCCATGGTAAAACTTAGCTGAATGGCAGGTAAGCAGCAATCAAACCTCAGTTGTTCACTCTACAGAAATGTATTAAATGCCCAAGATTACCTAACCAAGTCTTCTGTAGCTAAAATTCTCCGTTGCAAGAGCTGAGTAGTGATGGCTACCTGTCACACCATCCATTCAATAAATGATCCAGAATAACGTACTTCCTTAATGTAAGGGTTCACCGATCTGCCTGCAAATACAAGGAAACTGCAGACATCCCTAGTAAAAAAATTACGCTCTAGCTAGCAGTCAAGCTTTTGGAATTAGTAGTGCAAGTAACTGTCAGTAAGTGCCAGCTGAAGAGACTGAAAAAACATAACCCTTACCAACTCTTTCTGGAGGGTTTTCTTGAGTTCTGTCATTCTTTGCTGTAGCTGTTTTATCATCTGTAAGCAGAGCAAAGGATAGTATTAATACAGTATTCATTGTCAGGACACATTTTGACCCACAGATATCTGGAAAAACCCACGATAAACAAGTGCAATGAATGAAAATCATTAAACAACGTTGACAGCTCTGAAGAAGCAACCTGAATGTCTTGCCTTTCTAGCTGCACACGTTAGCAGGCATGTGACAGGATAACTTGGGCTTTCATGTGACAGCACAGCGGAAGTGAACTGAATTCACACAGAAGGGCTCTGCAGGAACGCTGTAAACGGTATAATAAACGGCATCTTTCCTCTAAAATAGGTAAGGATTCCTACAATTCTGGCTGCAGTTTTTATCCACTGTTGCTAGATCCTTGTACAATCTAGATGAAAAAAATTTACTCACAGGATACTGGATTCAAATTGGATCTGCCATTTTGGTAAGCCTGTCCTTCTAAGGCTGCTGCATGGGCAGCACCAATTATTAGGCTTCCTAATTAAAAGGGGAAAGACTAACAGCTGTTCCTGCTATTTCAGTTCACCTTGTTTTTCTCAGCAATTTGCTGTTCCAGCTCTCTGTTATCCTTCTGAAGTTGAATGACATCTGCAATTGCTACCTCTCCATTCTGTTCCACCACGCGGTTTTCTGGAGAATGTAAATGCTTGTTGTTCAAGGCTCCCGTCAATTCCTCTAGTTCTGAAACCTATAAAAATGAAAAGAGTGAATTGCAGAGAAATCATGACATTTGCAGCCCATGAACACTCCACAGGGAGAAAGCTAGACTTCTTTTTGGTTGTTGTTTTTTGGGGGGGTAGCGGTGGTTGCTTTTTTAAACCAGAAAGCATTAGTGGCAATCTAGTTGGCTACATCTCTCACTGGCCTGCTTATTGCTTTTGGGTCTCTGTCTCACTGGTTTCATAACGGTTCTCTTGAGACATTTTATGAGTCAAATAAAATAAGGGGTTGTCTTTCATAAACCAGTCACAGATCTGACAGGAAACAGCTTTCTTTAGGAAGACAGGGAACAACAAATAATGGTGGTCTACACCGCTGGTGTTTCAGGTCACGAGCAAGTTGTCAGGGTAAACAGCTCCAAGCATGCATCAGCAGGCATGACAGAACTGGGGTCTCTTGCACACCTGCTTATTCTCCTGAGAAGTCTGAACAGATCAGATTTGCAAGTGCACTCACATTTTTTTCATGTTCTCTGGCCAACAGGCATTCCATCAATTTCCTTTCTTGCCGTTTCTTCTTTCTCCACTGCTCGGCTATTACTTGCTTCTATGTCAGATTGCAACTGATGCATTTGCAGCAAGACAGCTTCATGATCTGAGAAAGGAGAGACCTGCTTAGTATCAGTCTATTGAATCAAATGGGAGTTTCTAATTATTTTTCTTAAACAAAGCAAGCTACAGTGACAGTAAATCCTGACCTTTTTGCCCTGCTCTGTCATAAAGACAGAAAGATGATGGAATTTAAGCCACCCAGCTCACATGCATGTTTTTGCAAAGGAGCAGCCTAACTGTCTGAAAGTCAGAGTGATTTTAATACTTAACAACATAATTATCAATTACACCTGCTCTAAAAGACCCCCATCAAAAGTCTGTGTGACTTTTTGCTGTGATTGCACAGGAACACTTGGGGCTGAGCTGCGAGCACAAAAGGCTAGCTGGCACAAATGGCTACCGACACATGGCTAGCCAATGGAATGGTGCAACAAGAGGCTACAGTTTTGTTCCCTTTCTAAATAATGGCAACACACAAGAGAAACAGTAGGGTTAGGAACTGAATGAAGATGACTGCACTTCATTTTTTGGTATGACTGTGGAATATCAGTTTGCAGCTGCTCTTTAAGAATGTAAATAATCTTTCAAGCAAGCACAGTTTTTAAAGTGGTGCAATGAAGTAGCAGTTTTTTATGTGTATCATTTATTTCATGTTTTGTGCAAAACAATCATTTACAAAAAGTACAGCAAGATTTGTTATTTTATGGTGTATAAACATAAGACTTTGATTTTAAAAAGTGGTTTTGTTTTTAAGCACGCAGTAGAGAGACTGTCCAATTGTTACTGAAGGATAAAAGATTTTTAAAATTCTAATAGATTAAATATGGAAGAGAAATCTAGAATTATTACAATCTATCAGGCAAGCCCAGAACTAGAGACTGTACTTAGATAAAGCTGTCTGGGATACAGTAAACTCATTTGGTCTAACCTTGACTGAGTTGGTTTAGTTCTTCCTTCTGTTTTAGAAGCATATCACATTTTTCATCAATCAGCTGGTCTTTTTCGTTTATTAAGGAAGCCAGATGCAAAACCTTCAAAGCAGGCAAACAAACAAACAGAAGCCATTAAAGACATAAAACTAGAAGAGGGCATTGAAAGATTTCAACATACCTTAGAAGTTCAGAATTTTTTTTTTTTTGTGGGAAGGACTGGAGAAGAATTCTTGTATCAGTGACAAAGGCAGTGGCTGGTTATCTACAACTGGCAGCAGCTGCCTGAGCTCTGTGCTAGGCAATACAACCTTGAAAAAGTGTTTTGTGCAGCATTAGTGTTACAGAAAATACAATGTGGATGTCTGTGATCTATCCAGAGACTCACAGAAGGCATCACCTCTACAATGCTGACCTCATTAAAAAGCACTGAAGTCAATGTGCTGTCAGAGCTAAAACACACTTCGCTTCTGATAAACTCTGTGCCACAATTACAGATTGCCTCATAACCAGCAGGTGGCAGCTGTAAAACAGCCGCTGAGCAAAACCAGAGCTCGCCTTATACCCCTTTTATATACAGCTGGACTAAGCAAGCACAGATCTACAGCAGTCCCAGAAGAATAAAGAAACCAAAAGACGGGACTAAATTCAATCAGACTTGCTCAGTTGGCAGTTCCCAGCTTAAGCAAACACAAGTTCACATTATCCACCATGACCATTTTTAATAAAAGAAGAGCAAAACAAGACTACCTAGAATTTATATTTGGTTACTGGATACAACCTCCTCCCTACGAGGAAATTTACAATTTTAGAATTGCTGTGCTTCAGAGGGACAAAGATGAAGCGCTGAAAGGAACAACAACAGAGTGAATAGGTTTCTTCAAAACAAACTGCCAACTAGTCAATGGCTCAGGATGGCTGGCCCACTGGGACTATGCACCATCTTACAGATTTAAAGGGCTCTGAAATATCAGTCACCTTCATTCTGAGCAAATGTATTCACTTGCTACTACCTGGTCTTCCCCTCAGTTGTTCGTATTCAACTGTCACAACCTGACATAACTCTTGAGCCTACAAACTTACGAATATCCTTAACTTTGCAGTCAGCAGCATTTTACATTCTTCCAATGGAATAATTCACCTAAGTTGATTACATTCTTGTGCAGGCATTTACACAGACACCCTTAAGTTTCAAGTTTACTGAGGCAACCACTGCTGTCTTGTATGCTGACGATATGATTTTGATTAATGTTCCTGACTGTTATGATAATTAAGTCCAAATCTAGTCTGGTCTGTGCAAGGTGGGGAACACCCAAATATATTTTAGACTGTCAGTATTAACCAACCTGCTGTTGTAATTCCTCTCTTTGTTTTCGTGTTTCTTCCAGTGCTTTGGCAATTTCAACACTGACAGTCTCTCTGCTGCTCAATTCATTCTGCAAACCAAAAGTCATTCAGAGGTTACTCAAGACAACTAAAATCAAGTCAGTCTCTCATCTTTAAACCCAAATCCATTAGCAACTAGAATTTATGGGTGTTCTAACACACCATGATTTACACTTCCAAATGAGAGCTACTATTTTGTTTTACTGCACTGCTGCTATCTGCACATGTAAGAGCAACACTGAACTGATATAAGAGGCCAAGCATATCCAATGCTTAAAAGATCTTTTAGCTTGAAGTCTCTATTACAAAGAAGCAGCTCCTTCCTACAACTGATCTTTATTCCAATTATGCATCCAAGAGTAGCTACATAAAAAACTTTCAACAGTCTAAAATTATAGTCAAAAGACTGAGTATAAGCTGTAAATACCTAACCAACTTAAGTTTCTAATTTTTGTTTTGAATGCTATGAATGGAATTTGATGTTGAACTGCTCTGTATTCATTGCTGCTAACAGGATTTAAAAGCTCTTCATGCCTGACAATACGGGAATGTATTATTTCTGCCTGATTTAGGCAGACCCAGGCATTCTGTTTCAGAAAAGGATCAGCCATTTGTAATGCTCCTCAAATGCATTTCTACTAAGTACCAAAGATGATTTACAGCTGTAAGTACATGCAACCTGAATGTAATGTGACTCCAAGTACTGAGAATTTGCCATTAACTGTTTCTCAAACTCGGCTCTGTATTTAACCAACATCACTAATCAATTAAGCCCTTACCTTTAGCCTGTTTAATTCAGACTCTTGTTTTTTAAAAGAACTCTCATACTCTTCTCTGCTTCCATTAAGATTTTCAATTTCCTTTTCCAACTGGCTCTGTAAAATAAAGATCGCTTAAGTGTTAAGCACAATTATTCTAAAGCTTTGTTTAAACAATTAAACACATCAAATGCTTTGTTCATATTTAGTTTCTCAAAGTATGAGATCTTCTATTATAATGCTAGGAGCTGTGAATAAGAACATTCAGATAACATGCAAGGTCTACAAGCCGTGTCAAAATCATTTTGTGAAGATTCACATGGCGACTCATGTGGCCCACTGAACAGTTTCTGTACTTACAATCTTGTGCTGATTAGTTGTTTTATCAAATTCCCAAGCTGTTTCAAGAGCAGCAATTTGAGACTCCAGCCCAGTAACTTTCTGATCATACTGATGTTTCTCAGTTAAAATCTGTTGCTGTAGTTTACTTCTTTCATCCTCTAGATCAGTTTGCTTAAGAGAAATAAAGAACACTGTTAATAAAACGGTATTTTGAAGCTCTGACAAGAATTGGACACCATTCCATGTGACATATACTCAAACTGAAGCAACACTATTCCTTTGGCAGCAGCATCATATACAGATATCAGTTTAGGTAACAAACAGCAAGAAAACACTTGAGTAACGAAACAAACACAGAGAAATGAGTCTCTCTGGGGATGCTGAAGACTGATCTGCTACTGGTCAGTGAAACATCATGCAGTATACTCACCAGCTTCTGGATTTTCAGATCCTGCTCAGTAGCTGCTTCTTTGCTCTTTTTCAATGCTTCTGTTGCAATCTGTAGTTTTTGTTCCAATTCTTTATTCTAAAATATAACCATACATTACAAATGCTTGCACTTCAGCTATTTGTTTCTTAGGATAGGGAAGATATGCATGAAAGCTCTAACTTCATAACCTCTTGGCCCTTCTCTACCACTGAAGGTGGGGAGATGACCAGAGACATTGATCAAGTAGACTTTCCTTTCAAGACTAAATGTGACATGTAGTCTCACCTGAGAGCATAAGTGCAGTGAGGGGAGAAGGTATAGGGCATAAAGAAGCTGGAAACAGTGGGAATTTGTAGTGGGGGGAAAAAAAGACAAAAAAACCCAACCAAACAAAACAAAATACCCAAAAACTTACCTGTGTTTCCAATCGGTTCACAGTCTCAGTGTGATACGTTCTGTCTGTTAGTACCTGCTGCCTTGTTTCATCCAGTTTCTGCTCAAGAGCAGCTTTCTGAAGATTATATTGAGACAAAGAACAAGAGGAAGGATGGACAAAGAGATAAGATTTTTTTTAAATTAAGATTTTCCCTTATACTTCATTAATAATGTCAAACTAAAATGGAACAGTTATTTTGATGCGCAATACAGCTTTGCTCTTGGGAACCAGCAAGTTTGATGCTACCGCATAGGACCTCCGTAGATCATGTCGTCCTGGGGATGACATCATTAATATTAAGAATGGGAAATCCACTGGCATCCTGTCATGATCCAGATATTAAATCTAATCAGCAGCCAGGTCATAATCTTCTAACCCAGGCCAAGTTTAAGGGATAAAAAAAATTTTTTTGAAAGCTTAACTTACCCTGCATCACAGCAAACACACAAACAAAGAAGGCAAAACATTTTCTAGTTATGGTAGTTACTTTCCAAAATGTTTTACTACCCCTACATGGACTTTGAACTGGCTCAAGTTTACTAAGCCAAGTTCATTTATCACAGCAACATCAAGTTGATGTGTCTTGTAGGCAAGCCTGACCAAGGAAGAGCATGTCTCCCCAGGACCCAGCTGGGGGAACATTGCTCCAAGCTGATTCTGAACAGGACCATCGGTGCTTGAGGAAGAAATCGAGAAGTAATGAGAGAAAGGGCCTTGACCAAAGCTAAGTTAGTTTTCAGCTGTTTCTTAACACTTCTGAGGCTCAAGCTTTCAATATATAACATTCTGTTTGTACACCTATGTGCAAAAACAGTTCCCCTCCGTGTCCCAATGCTTTGCAAGTTATGATAATGGAAGACAAAGAACAAGGAAAAGCGTTCACTGTTCTCTGGAAGGATTAACCAATAAAACTCTCAAATTGTTCTATCTCCTGTGGGCATGTTAAAAAGCTGCTCTTTTGCTTCTAAGCAGTCAGATGCATTGCCTAAACAGACAATGCAGAAAGACCAATAAAGACATCTGTGCAGTATCTACATAAGCAGGCTCAGTGTAGTCACCCACACATTTCTGTCCAGCATAGACAGCGTGCCAGTATATACTGAAGGGACAAATGTGCCTGCATTACATTATCATACATTACTTATCACATGTGGAAAGAATATATGTCCTAAAAAATGTCACTAAGATTGCACTTTTAAGCAGTCTATAAAAGTGTAATTACCTCCTTGAGTAGCTCCTGCACGTGTTCATCCCCTGAAAGGTTTCTTTCTAGCTTCTTTTCCAAGGAAGACACTTTCTCCTGCAGCTGTTCAGTAAGTTTATTTCTCTCAGCAAATTCAAGAGTCATCTGTGAGAACAAGAAATCACAGAATCCTTTTTGTAGCAAAGCCTTCATCTAATCCATTGTGGTTTGACTTTAAAAAGTGCCACTAGAAAGAAAGTCCTATTTGAAAAGAGAATATGATCCTAAAACACTTTCTAGACACCAAATTTCAAACTCTCAGTGCACTACCCAAGCGTATACCTTTACACCAGCCAACAGCAGATGCATCTGAAAACACTTAACCTTTTGCTTGCGTTGTTCATATTCCAGCTTCAGAGATTCATGCTCCACCTGTAACGTTTCCAGCCTCTTCTCACAACCAGAACCAGCAACTCGAGCCTAAAAATTTTGAGAAATTACTTGCTTTGAAACTAGGTTTCCAAAAACACGTAACTGATATCTAATCTAACTTCTGCAGACAAGGAGCTCTTTGAATCAAATCTCACTTAACTCAAACTTACATTTTGCAAGTCTACAGAAAGCTGCTGAATGACAGTTTGTAGCTCCTGTTCTCTTAACTCCAGAGCAGTGATCTTATTTTCTGCATTTGTCTCAGCTGTCATTAGTTCATCTCTTCACAGAAAGAGAATAAAAAAAGTGACATACCGTTCCAGAAAAATAATCTTTAGCAGATAATTCTGCTGCTTATGAAAATGGATTAAGCAACAACAAGATTTTCTTTTCCTAAAACCAGCCACCACTTGATTACACATTTTCCAAAAAAAGTGACAGTTAAGCATTCAAACTATGAAAAAAAGAAATCATATCAAGCTTACAAAACCCTAAACAAGTACTACGTTAATTGGCTTGAAAAGAAATATAAACTTGGCATTTACATCCACATCAGTATAACAGAAGCAGTTATTCAGTCAGCTCACTACATATATAAACTCTTCCAAAAAGACAGAACCGGGCATGAAGTAAAAGTATAGGGGAAATGCATACACTTGTCCTCATGAAACACCACATCCATACCTCTGTGCCTCTAGCTCCAAGAACTGCTGCTGCAACTCTTGAAGATTTTTCCTTAGGCCTGATGACTCGTTGCTTGCATCCTGAAGCACCTCTTTAGTGTGGGTTAGCTCTTGAGTGCACGCCTCTAGTTCCTGCTCTGTTTTGCTCAGAGATTCTTCCTTTTTCAAAAGCTGAATATTAGAATGTTATCTTTGACAATACAGATGACCTGATAATACTGATAGTGTCTTCTCATTCAAACTTGTCTCTTTTATTAAGTTACGAGCTCAATTAAATGAAATAATAAATAACTCCCAGAAAAGTCACTGTTGAAATAAACTATGTAATATTGTATGCATATTGTATGCATAGGATTTTGACACTGACCAAGATTGTATACAAGCATTAAGGCTAAAAAAATTAATGCACAGCTACCACTAACTCGGTATTCTAACAAATTTTAGGACAGAAAAAAAAAGTTTAAAAAATCTTACCATGTGTTTAACTTTGGCAATTTCCTGCTGTTGAAAGCCCTCCAGTTCATCAATTTCATCTCTTTTTTGAAAAAGGTTCAAACTCTGCTCCCTTATTTCTTGTAACTGCGTTTCAAGCATTTTTTTTTCCTGATAAACCAACAAAAACAAAAGGAATCCAAGAATATCTGTATGCTCATTTCAAGTCAATGGGAGTTTAGTTAAACTCTCCGGGAAAGGAATCTTGTCTTGCAGCCATAAGGCTCTCTGACGGTGCTACATGTAGAACTAGAACCTCTTCCACATTCACGTCACAGTAGGCAATGTGGAGCAAATTACTGAACTTCAAAAATATCAAAAAAAATCCGTATCCATTACAATGCAGCCAATGATCACCTAAATGAACTGTTAAAAATGGACAGCAAATAGTAGTATGTTTAACGTCTTCATAATCAGAGATACTTTAAAATAGGCTAAGCTAAACAGCTGGAACAACTACAAGACTGAAATCCTGTATTAAAAAAAACCCTACCAAATAGTTTCATTTCTTTGATGAAACAGATGACCTACTGCAAGACCTCAGACGAAGTCACTATCTCCTTCTGCAACACAGCTGCCTCCTCTATAATAAAGGAAACTATTGTTCCACCTTACAGAAGTACATGTTTCTCATTGCAACCTATCATTCTTTACTTCCCCACTGAAAAATAATTCCAGAAATACCTCCTGAAGCATTGGGGCTGGTAATGAAAGCAAATGTCTGGCCTCTCTCACTGAATAAAGATCAAATAATAAAAAGGGCTGAACAGAGTTGAGCTTTTAAACACAGGCTGGTGTTTAAAAATCCACACACAAAAAAAACCCCACCCCAAAACCCCAAAGCTTAATTACCTTTTCAATTTGACCCAGTTTTTCCATCCACTCCTGAATAAGAAAGAAGAAAAAAAAAATCAAAATCCATTTATAGACTTTCAAGGACAGCAATTACGGTAAAAGAAATAATTTGTACTGTTAACAGAGATACTAAGTTGTGGTAATGATTAAAAAAGTAACCAGCAAACACTAACAGCTAGTGTTTTAATATAAAAGCTGAGGAATCGTTTATGCTACCTGAATAAGCTGTATGCAAGTAAAATAAAACAAAAGTGACAACAGGTCTACTGCAACTGAATCTTACCAAATACAAATGCAAGCTTAACCTTACATTAGAAATTGTTGTGGGTTCTTTTTAAATAAGAACAGTCAGAACAATGACAAGTCCTACACTATTTCTGGCATTTGAACTTAATACTCCCTTCTTTCCTCATTGTTGGCATGCAAAGAATACACAATGCCGAACAACTATTTTAACTGATGGTGACACCTGCTTAAAACATCAAGGTCATGCACTCAGATCTCCACAGACAGTCAAAAGTTGAGTTGTTCAAGCTCTGTTACCTGGTCCTTTTTTTCTAAGGCTAAAGCCATTCCTTCAGCCATCTTGGCTCGACTGGCCTGGTGAGCTTCATTCTGCTCCTGAAACTTCCTCATGGAGGCTATCAAAAGAGAATCACCAGCTATATTAAAAACTCATCTTTTTAAATTGCTTCTGAATTTTCTGTAAGTTATTTATCACTTTAAAGAGCTGCTTCTGCAAGTAATTAGCCCCATCTTGACCCTGTAACACTAACGCTGTGCCATTTATTACCTCACACTGGTTGCACATTGGACAAATGCCAGAAATAACAGAAGATAGCAGTACTGTTCCTCACTGGCTTGTAATAAAGCTGTAGGTTTCAAAAAAGTCTCTCCTGCACGTTAGCCCCACATTTGGCAAAAGGAGTATAACAACAACGTTGTTCAACAACCAACACACTACTGCTGCTTTTCACACCGCAAATAAGGCAAGAACTTGTGTTCTAATTCTTCGCAACCTAGAGGTGCACAGTTTGAAAGGAAATGATTAAAACATCTGTACATCAAATGCGTTTCCTTCCAACCATAACAGTTTTCAACTTAAAAAAAAGAAAAAGAAAAGTACGTACAATCCTGATGCTTTTCTAATGCATTTTCAAGCTTCTCTTTTATCTTCTGCAAGTTTCGGATCTGATCAGCATAATCTTGTGTGAGGAGGGAGAAGCACAGACCAGGAATGAACAGACATTGGGGAAGGAAATTTTTAGGGGAAAAAAAAGAAAAAAAAAAGAAAGAAAAGATGAGTGGAAAATGACGATGATTTTCTCAACCAGAGAGGAAAACCTGGGTGACCATAACAATGAACACAAGCAAATAGTTCTGTACTGTCCATAAGGTAAACGGTTGGTACAAACAGGAGGACCTGTCCTAGGTGTGCTAGTTACACAAAAAAGGGCAGTATCAGAGAATGAAGAACTATCCCCACTTTTTTCTTCATTCAGGAACAGTGATCTATTTAACTCTGTTTAGGAAAGGTCTCTCTCATTGGAGGATGCGAGGATGGGGCAATTCACAGACGCTTGCACTCTTGTTCCATACTGCTTGTTGTTCAAGTTGCACAGTATCTGAGGCTGAGCTCTGACTGGTGCTCCCGCTCGGCTAACAAACTCGC